GAGCCTATTTCGACCGACTCCTCCCCTTTCGGTTCTAAGAGTCGATTAAAGTAGACTAGAGGGTGGTTAATCGACTAGTCCGTTAAGAGTTAAAAACATCAAGCACGAATTTATCGAATTCAATCCAAACAATTGCAAGTTGAAGTGTCACTCTTCAACAATTCTCAAAACTCAAGCTAAAAATTGAAAAACCCTAATAAAAGATTAACTCGTATGAATTTGAACAACCTGAGCCCGACAATCACAAACGATATCAAAACATCAATCCCCTATCCCTAGCGTATGGATTTAGCCAATCATAATCGATTCAACACCAACAATCTCAACAATCAAGACAAACATATTCATAGATTAAATGAAAAGAAAATCTTACGAGTGATGAAATCCCAAGGTTGAATACGATAAACAAGCTTAATCCGAAAGCAATAGTGAAATCCGAGTTCAAATTCGTGTTCTACGATGAAAAATATGAAAGAAAGATGAAAAAACGAGAGAAAAGAGACGAGAGAATATCAAAACCTAGAAGGAAGATAATGAAAAACTGATAAAAAGTTCGAAATAAAAATCCTGCTCGTCGCGACCTCCGCGGCCGCGACTACTCCTCCGCGGCTGCGGTGAAGGAAGGTCCACGGCCATGACGATGGCCGAGGCCACGACATCTTCATGGCAGAAATGGGACTGTCGGGAACTTCGCGGCCGCGACCTCACCTCCGCGGCCGCGGTGAAGGATTTCCTGCACAGCCAAAAAACGTTCTCGGGTTCGTTTGAGCTCGTTTCAACTCGGAATTTGATTCCGCTTTTTCCTGTGTGTTCCCAACAAACTCCTCTATTTGATTAGGCTTGCCCAGCTAGTATTTTTCCGAACTCCTGTTCTCCTGAGACTTCCGACCTACACACCATAAGCAAACAAAAACCGAAAAAATACACGGAAAACACACGAAAGACTAAAATAGAGCAAACCACGAAATAAACTACAAAACGAACTAAAAACCAACTAAAAGACCTAATATGGGGGAAAAAGAAAGACAAAAAAGACAACGAGAAACGCAACAAAAATGTGACAAACACTAATTATTTTCTCTTTCCGCAAATGTACGACGTAGCTATAGGTAGTGGCAAGCAAGGTCGTATTCCACAGAGATTGTTGTTAAATTAATTAAGTACTAAAATAATAACGATTAAATATTACCTAGACTAGCTAGTGAATTGAATGATGATTATAAACTAAGAATTAAAATTAAAAACTAATTTATCTAAAAAATAAAAAATAAAATAAGATACAAAAAGGTAGATTCTAGGCTAAGCGTTCCTCGGAATTAATTCATGAAACGTTTATAATCAAACAAACCTTATTTAATTTAATTTTACCAATCGTAGAGATAATCGCTAAATTTATTTCAAACATTTCGAACAAGTTAAATAGTAGATATTAATTGTTATCTATTTCCTCTCGGTCTCAAGATGAACAACTAACTCCCACAAGTTCCTAGGATTTTCGTTCTCTCGCAAGGTCCTATCAACCTCTCGGTCTGTCTATTCTCTTACGTTATAAATCTCTCAATTCTAGCAATCAAATTATCTCCTCTCGGTCGCAAATCGATCACAAATATGTATTCATAGTGGCCATCTACTCACACAATAATAATAATCCCAAGAAATTTATAAACGAAAGATAAAACGGAATGAAAGAAATAAAAACTAAATCATAAATTAATCCGAGTACTAACAAATCCTAGAATCTAAGATAAATCTAGCCTAGAAACATGCTTTCAAAATAAGAAAAGTAGACATAAAATATTGAGTTCGAAAGAGGAAAAGAAAAAGAAAGAAAAAGCTTATTCGGCTCCGTCGATCTTTTTTTCCCGGCTTTCGCCCTCGTCTTGCTCGTGTTTCTAGCCTCTAAAGGTCTCCAAAGATCTGAAAATGTGTCCAAGACTCCCTAAAAAATGTGTCCTAGGGTTGTATATATAGTTGATGTCGAGTCCTAGTAGAAATATATCGAAAAATCCCTAAAAATAGGAAAAACGCGTAAAATTCGTACAAGTCGCGCCCAGAGTCACACGACTCGTGTCACAAGACACACGAGTCATGTGATATTGTCGTAAGCTCGTTTCGGACCCGTTTCGAGCAACACGAGTCGTGTCTCGGTCTCACATGACCGTGTGAGTCTGGAACTTCAATTTCGCTATGTTTTTCACCTCCTGGAAAGTTTCAGACGTCAAAGACGGGCTCCTGTTGATATTACGACGTTAAGGTGACTCCCAGAGGTTGGACAGTGACCACGTCGAGGGGCGTAGCCAGAAAAAAAATACCCTGGGCTGATCGTGATCGGTTATAAAAATAATTTAAATTATGTGCTAAAATTAATGAAGAGAACATAGAAAATAAGTTTTAATTGACAAATGCATATAAAATTCTTCATGTTCATTACAACTATTTAAAAGGTAAAAAAAAAAGGGTTACCTATTTAAAATGCGTCCTCCGATTCTTCATACTATAAGACCGTCAATTATTGAATCTGTGTCGATCTTCGAAGTAAACTCTCTTTCGATGTAGAAAATCATAGAATCCGCTAAGAAGTCTTTTTCCATCTTATTCCGAACAGGAGTTTTGAGAAATTTCATGGCTGAAATGATCGTTCGGTTGTTGCAGTAGAAACGGGGTGAGTCAAAATAAGGCGAATCAATGTGTTAATTAAGTGATAATGTCTTGCCTTTTCCGTCTCTATTAACCGCCGACATAAATCAGAAATGGTAGAAATATATTGGAACCTATCATTCTGGAAAACGTCAAACTTATAATGCCCTAACTGACTCCTCAAATAATGTAGCTCTTGGCCACTAAAATCATTCGAATATAATTTCTTGACAAGAATGTAAATATCATCACAATTGAACAACTTAAAGTTATCTCGAGAGCATAGTTTTCTTCTTTCCCTTGTGCTTAAAAAACGAGAGCATAGTTTTCTTCTTTCACTTGTGGACATCCATTTGAAAAATCAACCTATAAACATCAATCAACAAATAATATCAGTAAAATATTTCAAATATAGACTTTACAATACACTATTATTTTTTATATTTTCTATTTCAAGTTCAAACTTAAGAGTATCTAGAATTCATTTCTTACTTTGTTGGTACACATTTTAAAGAGAATGAAACATCTTCTACAAACTCAAACTAATAATAAAATCTCCTCAAGTCAACTATATATTTATTAAAAAAGAAAACTAAAAAGACAAAAACAAAATCTTTCACATGACCACAGTTTCTTGTTTCATTATCCACACTTCAATAATTTTAAATTTCGCATGTCCAAATTCCACTCAACTATATATTTATTAAAAAGAGAAACTAAAAAAAAAGGAACAAAATATGTCATCCACTAATTCTGATTTTCTGATATTCCAAATTCCACATCTCAATTCTCAAAAGGTGATTGTTTACTAAATCTATATTTTTATTGTTCTCCACTTTTCATGAAGCATGTGAACATATTTTGTTCTCAAACAAAGCCAGGCGCCCATGCCCTAATTAATTATGATAGAAATTAAAGTATTTATTAAAAAAAAAAAAGGCAAACCTAAGAGAGAAAAGGAAGAACACCAGAAGTTGCTCAGGCAAACGCGGGACATCGGGCACAAGACAACGGCTTCTCGCGGCTTGAGGGAAAGAAAAGGGTTTCTCCTGCCCGCAATTGATTTTTAGGGAAAAAATATTTTCTTCTTGAATTCATGTTCTATTTCAGTTCCCAAACAAATAGTTATAAATTATAATGTTATTTGTGATAATTAGATTTTGGGTTGTCAGTTTAATTATTGAAGGTTTGGATTCAATTTGTTGTTTGTTGGTCTCGTTAAAATTTCATACACGGGCTAACTGGTCTAATTTATACGGGCTTACTAAATTNTCAACCTGGGCTGGAGCCCACCCCAGCCTTTGGGGTGGCTCCGCCCGAACATGGCTATTTTCCGGCGACGGGCGTTCATCTGCACGGATGGCATCTCGGTCGTTCACCTTCCGGGCGGCATTCAACGGTTCTGGAAGGCTCTCTGGCGGTCGGAGATTCTTTTTCTCGCGCTTCACTGGCAGGTGGATAAGTCTCCCGTCGTTCATGGTGTCTCCGGCGATTTCTCGCTCATTCCGACGGCAGCTTCTCCGGAGACAGGCTTGACGTCCAGGAAGATTCTCCGTCGGCGGGCTGGAAGCGACGTCCAACAAGGTGGTCTCCGGTGAGGTGGCGCGGCACCGTGAGATGGGCGAGCAGCGGGCGGATAGCAGCAAAATGGCGTGCGTACGTATCTCATCTCATGTCATGAGGAAGAAGAAGCCATGCAGTAGAAAAGACATCTTTTCCCTCACTTTAATTGGCTCTTGGGCCACCAAATGCTTACCATTTCCAATTGGGCTTTTTTCATATTGGGCTGCATGTAGTGAAGTCTAATGGCAACTTTCATGGCCCAAAAGAGCTAATTTCTTTCTCTCCAATAAGGCAATGTAATTGTGCCGGTCTCAAAGCACGACTCGTACACCGTAATTGATCGATTCTCGCCGCTTTCGACTTCAAAAATTAATTCGACCTCAATTCCTGTTAAAACTCAAAATAAAACAACTTCGTCATAGCTTAATAAAATTATTTAAATAATAAATAATTATATAATAATTATTAAATAATAATTAATTATATATCAAACTACGATGAAACGGACATGGAAATCACTATAAAATGCACGTAAATATGACGCATGTCAGTCTCATAGAAGTTTGGTAGGGAGAATGTGGATTTTTGAACTCATTTTTTTAATTTTGGTACTTTATTCTTAAGTAAAACTGATAAAAATTGTTTTTTTGAAACTCACTACTAAAAAGAGTCCTACTATGTGTTACTTGCTCAACAACGAGAGTTCGTGGTGACGGTATTAGGGTCGTTCATCATGGAGAACGGGATGGTACCTGGGAAAACCCATTAATACACTATTATCAACAAAAAACTCAGCTCATATGTATGTCGGTCATCTGATAGAGCTTGATGTTGCTTTAGGATTTGATGGTTGGCTGGTAAGTAATGTATTTATTTTTTAGTTTGTAAAATCTACACATTAATAAGGTTAATTTAAAGAAATGAGGTTGAATTAATTGTTTGCTTATAGTTGTACTTTATCTTGCTGATAGGGGAGATGAACATCTAATTACATAATTAAATGCCGTTTAACTAATTGCATGTGGTTTGGCTGTACAGAAGGGGCTTTGGCATCGTAAGTGCAGCTAGTGGAAGGGGATTGCGTGGAGGTGGAGGAGGAAGGATATCTTTAAACTCTCGGGTATCCCACCTACTCCTAGAGGAGTCCCGCAGATCCCCGTCTGCTTTGATATTGATGCCAATGGTATTTTAAATGTCTCGACCGAGGATAAAACGACTGGACAGAAGAATAAGAACACGATCACGAACGATAAGGGTCGTTTGTCGAAAGAGAAAAATGAGAAGATGGTTGAAGAAGCTGAAAGTACAAATCGGAAGATGAAGAGCACACGAAGAAGGTTGAGGCAAAGAATGCGCTCGAGAATTACGCACATGATGAAGGACGAGAAGATTGCTTCTAAGCTGCCGGAGGCTGATAAGAAGAAGATTGAGGATGCTACAGAGGCAGCTATTCAGTGGCTGGATGAGAACGAACTGGCAGAGGCTGATGAGTTTGAGGACAAGATGTAGGAGCTTGAGAGCATTTGCAACCCGATTATTGCTAAGATGTACCAGGGAGCGGGAGGTGAAGCCTCACCCATGGATGACGAAGGCCCGACTGGGCCCAAGATTGAGGAGGTGTACTAAATTTGATGGCCCAAGATATAATGTTGTATTGTGGGAGTTGGGGATTATCTATTTTACTTTAAGTTTTTGTTGGTGAACATTTTTTTTTTGTTGGGTAAGTGTTGTTATGGATA